GAGAGAGAGAGAGAGAGAGAGAGAGAGAGAGAGAAGAAGAAGAAGAATGGGAAAAAAATTCAAAAGTCTAGTATCTATTTTGCATATTGGTATATATAATTTCTGCAAAAAGTACCATTATCTTTAATTTTTATAGCAAGTGGTGGCAAGCAAGATTTCCTATGCAAGGAATACGGGAACAAATATCTCAGCACCCAGTCACCAACTTGTGACATTGCTCTTACCTGTGTACAGATGCTGGCTGACTAGTCCCTCCGACATCCACTTCACTGCCGATGTATTTCCGTCTAAGGAAAGCCTTGTCTGCATATAATTCTTTGTCAAGCTTACTGCCGGAGTTGTCGAAGTATGAATGCTGGCAAATTTTTAAAAAATTCATGAGCTGACAAAGTGCTAAAAAGGAAAAATATCTCTGCTTAAAATTAATATAACAAGTAATGAAATGAAAACAACTACAGAATCTAATGATACCACAGATAATAATAGGGGCAAAATTCAGAGTAGAGTAGAAAAAAAGGGAACAGATTCTATTTTTCTTCAGCAAAACATAGGGTCATGATCTCGGGTCATTTGGCATGACATCTGATGATAATGTTTAATTGCAGCTTGACTTCATAGATCACTGATAAAGATCTAAGAAATCCAATATTACAAAACAAAATGTAAACTACAATATAATCCAAGTCAATATTCCAACAACAACAAGAGCAACAAAAAATGTTGGGTGCTGACATAATGACAATTATTGGGGAGGCCTTTCCAAGACATCCACACTCTGCAACAGAAACAACAGATAGGCCTATAGGTTGAGAGTTGGGTTTCTTTGATGCTTCCTCCTCTTTACTGTGATGACCTGAGAGCTGTTTGTGAACTTGGCAATAGCTTATTTTCTTTTCCTACAGGCATTGCAGTCAGTTGCAAGCTCTAACTACTGACTTTTAATAATAGGAAATGGGGGGGAGGCACGAGTGTGTCTTTGTACACTTCCGGGGGTGGAGGGTGGGGGTGGGGGGTATGAGTGTGTCTTTGTACACTTCCAAGGAGAACCCCTCATGCACTGGCCAGTAGGCAGCACTCTTGGAACGTCTTTTCAGTGTCATTCTCAACGTGAGTCTTGAGTTCTTGATGATTTTTTTAGTTTTAGTAGAGTTTTTACAGCTCTTGTAACTGTATAAGGTCATATGAGCTCCAAGGATTGGATGTCAACAGAACAGAGAAGTCCATACAGGGAATCAGGCTTACTCTGCTAAACTCTCTAGCTTCAACTGCACAAAGTCTGCTTCAACTATCAAGGCACCCCTGAAATAGCGGGTCACAAGACAGTTTCAAACATACAAAATACGTAGAGGAAAAATGATGGTAGTAAGGATTAGGAAAGAAAAAGCAGCAGTTCCCCGAATGAAATTCAGGTACAGTTACGAGCATGACATTGATAATTCAGCCCATTTAAAATTCTACTGAGCATAAGAACATGTTAATGTCCCCCCTTTGGGAATGGCCTAAAGACACTTCAGCTGGTAGCACTGCCTTGGGGGTTTTTTGATGATCACCACAAAGAAAAAGATGCAGTAACAGCACAATTACGTGCCAAGGCCACATCTGCTGACATCTCCCCAGCATGTGGAGTACCTCTACAAGTGCACATGGCTTGACACTGTCCTACAAGGGCGGCCACTACATGTTTCCAACTAGCAGGCAAATGCTGTAACTAGTGCTAACTACCCCTTACCAGGTAATACCTCTCGCAGCATCTTCCATGAGACAGGAAAGGACACTGATGCTAAGTTCAGGACACAAACACTTTGTCCCCACAAGAACGATGATCAAAGGACTCCTTACTTCAGAATATACAGACTTCTCGGATCAGTTTCCATGTAGTGTGAGAAGCAATTAGATTTGAAAGTAGCCTGTGATAGTGAATCTTTGCTGGACAGTATAATCATACCAATATCAATTCATATACAAAGCATAATGTCACAGTAAAAGAACCACAAAGCCCTATGAAGGTTGTATTGGATGTCCATACCTGTAGCCCATATTTCTTTTTAATATGTTTTAGTTCTTTTCTTCTTTGTTGATTTTTCTCTTCTTTAGAAAGAACAACATGATCTGAAAGAAAAAAAGGAGATTGACAAAAATCAGTCCAAAAGTTTTCTCAACTTAACTCTTGTGTTTGGTTTAGCAACAGTATCCTTAAAATTGTTCTGTAAAAGGAGACATATTAGGCTAAATTTGAATCAACATTTTTCAGCTGGGATGTTTTGTTGTTACACGTAATTATTTTAAAAGGGAATATATAATATATACCCTATCTCTGTCTCAGTGCCTGGCTCTCTTTCTCTCTCTGCCCACTTCTCATTCTTGCTCAGCACATTTCTCTTTCCTGACTCTCTTTCTCACTTTTACTTCAACTTTTTTTGTTTTTCTGTCCCAAACAGTCTCTCTTGTGCACACAGTCTTAGCTGGTCTCTCTCTCTCTCTCTCTCTCTATTTCACTACACCACTTCCTACCATTATAAACTCCCTTGGCAGCCTGAAGTCTGGCCTGCACCTGGCCTGGCTCACACTCGTCACACGTGTCCAGGCCCTTGTGAATGTGAATCAGAAGTCTCGTCCCACAGAACTTCAGCACATCTCCGTGAGACAAAGCTTGAGCATGGCCATTCGCTTGCTGAGGAATAATGAAAACAAATAACCATTTATTGACCTCCTGAAGTCTTTGACCATAAATGTCTCTGCATGGATTTGACATCCTATTACATGTATACAAACTTGTTACTTAATAGGCAGAACACCTGACCCTGTGTTTAGATTAAAGAAAAATTGGAAAGATGAGACATTAAAAGTCAGAAAAAGGAAGGGACCCTACTAAAAAAAACCCTGAGACATTCAGAAGAAAGACATGAAAGTTTTGAAGCTCAAAATATAACTTACAATTGCTACATAGCATATTTTATGGCTTCAATTACCAGTACAGCTTTCTTCCAATACTACAACCAATATCACCTCTTGTTTCAAGAACTTTAACAATGAAAGTCCCCATGTTCCCCATACTGATGAAAATTTCAAGGAAAGCATATTTTCACATGAATCTATTTTACTAGCATCCCACCCTGAACTCAAAGTACTGAACCATAACATAAAATTGTGAAACTTTAGAATTATTTTGCTTGGTCATAAGTTTCAGTAGCTGCAGGAGTAAAAATAGGAAGAAGTATGATGGAGAACAGAAGTTAAATAATGCTGGAAGAAACTGTGAGAGTGGTACAAGCTGCAAAAACCATGAAGTAGTGACTGTTGTAATGACATTACTAGTAGAGTACTTACACTCGGCGAGGCCACTTACCATAAAACACTCTATAAAGTTGGTAGCATTGACGACACAATGCTTCTGACTGGCCGAGGCGAGACACATTAGGCTTAAGAAGGCCTTGCACGAAATAGTGTGGATAAGGTACATTTGCGTTCCATTATGAGACTTAAAGTATGTCACAAAATAGCACGTTAGTGTGGCCCCATCTTCTGTCTGCAACCAGTGAATACACCAATCGTATTTTGGTAATTACAAGCAGAACTAGCTGTTTAACGTGACCGTATTGCTGTTCCGGATTGACTCGTAGCTCGGACTGGTCCTCGTTGCGAGTATACTTGTAGCCAGAAAAAAAATGAGTTAATCTGGAGAAACACCTTATGCTCACGTACTCTAGTTCCGATGCTTTCTCTTGAAATAATTAGTTTCTGATAACTAATCACATTTTGAAAAGGACAGTGAAAGCGTCAAGACAAAAGTTTTGAGAAAATCTGTGGATTAGCAAATGTATATATTAGTTACCTGGCCACTTAAACACTTTTCATATGACGGTGACAAGCATGGTTGTCTACTACTATATCATTCCATACTTGTAAGTTTTGAAAGCAAAGAAAAAACCAAGTTTCATGAAGACACCTGAACAAGTCGAACTCCATTCACAGTGGTTCCGTTTTGACTGCCCATATCTGAGATTCTGTAAACATCATCGGTGTGATCGTAGTCTATTCGAGCATGCTCCTGGAGAGAAAGGAACAATAAGCAAGTTTTCAATTGTTCATAGCATAGTTAATATCAAAGACCTGACAGTGTCAACAGAGGTGTAGAACATGAACATTAATTCAAATATTAGGGAGTTAAAATATTACGCTACAGTAAATCGTAGTGTAACACGACAATTTTTTTATTGCCTCTTCAGCTCACTTGTAGGAGTAACAACAAAATATGCAATCTTTATATGTAAGAAATATGGAAAGTAATAAAAATTAAAATCATGTGTAAACAACAGAAAAACAGCTTTTACAACAACAAAAAAGGGTGAGGGATAAAGCAAATCAAACCCTTACGGCTAAGAATTTAATTGAACCATTCCCTAAACAGAGATAATCTTTTTCAACCGTATAACATATTTGTCCCAAATCCTTTTGTGAAAATTTGTATGGGTTTCTAAAATTCTAATTTAATAACTAAATGACAGTGTTGTTCATGTCTCCTTATCATTTAAAATTCACTGTTCTTCTTTTTCTTCCTGGTTCAAATCATCAATCCAGATATACAACTGTTCATATAGAGGATTATGAGAACCTTGGTAATGCTGGATATATAAAAATTTGAAATTTAATCCCGATGAAATATGTTGCAGTATAAAAACTCAAAAATAGAGCTAAAGGAACTAGAAAACTGTCCACAATAGGAAAAGGGTCAGGATCATTCCTCACTGAAAAAAAAAAAAGAAGATACTTTTAACAACATTTAGAATAATAAATAAAACAGCCTACTACAAAAACTTGTGTAAATGGTGGGAACACCAGTGAAGTCCACAAATAAAACCAAAAAACCCCCGAAACAAAACAGCTACCATTTTAACTTACCTTACTGACATTGACATCTGGGATCTCTATCACAAGCCCTGGAGACTTCAGTCGACCGATGACTCCCCCAGCACAAGTGATGATGAGGAGAGATCCCTCCGTGAGACAGTCTGATTCAAGAACAATAACTCTGATGCAAGGGGGATGATTTTCTGCCAACTCTGAAATATAAAAGCATGTTGTCAAAACTTCTCTTAAATAAAACAATTTATACACATTATGTATAGCATGGCATTAGGCTGCTAGGAATGAAGTTAATTAAGGGCTGTTTGTTACAGAAGCCAGAGACAATAGTAACAGAAAATATACAGTCGAACGGAATCGCAAGAGAGCCAGAAAAAAATTCCGTTTTAGACGTTTTCCGTCTTAGACAAGGGAATTTAAGAGGAGATGGAGGGGGGCTTCAAAGGTCCAGCCCGTGGGATCAAGGGTCACTTGTCCGGTCGGCAATCAGTGGCCAAAACTTCACACCTCTCAATTAATATCCTCTCTGATAATGACATACGTCAGTCTTACTTATCTAATTACCACCAGTGTTCACATTTCATAGGACCACTGTTTGACCTATTAAAAACAGAGACGTTTGAACTGAACATCTCCTTTTCTTCCACCCTTAGCCCCACCCATAGGTATAATAAGCACAGTCAACCAATGGCATCCCTCATTGCCATGTAACAACAATTCCAGGAACTTTTCTCAGCTGGCCGTACAATCAGGGCGGCAGACATTGGTCAAACTAATTTCACACCTATCTGGCTTCTGGCTACCCAGGAAAGTTTCAGTGGTGGCTCACTACTCAAGCACTTTCACTGTCACTTGTGAGATTTCAAACCCACACCATTCTGAAAATCTGCATCGCTCAGGGCTCACATAGATGGGGGTAACCTCTACCGCCAAACTGCATCCCTACTCTCCTTCCCTGCCCGGTGGCATGGCGATCAGTTTAGAGCTGGCTAAACCAAACTTGCGAGTTTTGTTTCAAATCAAGACTGAGTGGGCAAAGAATTTTCCGTCTTAGACAGGTAAAACCCTCGGAAGGGAGTGGATTTTTCTTTCAGTTTCCGTATTGGACAGGTTTTCGTTTTATAAAGGTAATTAAAGAGGAATATATCAAGGGAGGAGCGGGGAGATTCCGTTAAGACAGGTTTCCGTTAAGGCAGGTTCGACTGTAATTATAATTTCAAATCATACTGTACAATATAAAGTGAAGATCATTTACATCAAAGCAAATTTAATTACTATGATATAATACATGAAATGTAAGGAATGACATCTATTTGAGTAGTAAGAGAAAAACACTGATTTTACAGTCAAATTCTATGCAAGGGAAAAATAAAAAATAACAGAATAAACAGAATGATTTTTTTAAAAATGGGAACTACACAAAAGGCTGACCAAAAACAGTATGATACAAAAGGCACTAACACATTTACATATTAGGTAACTAAAGTAGGTGTCTAAGGAGAAAATATTATCACACCATCTGATGGATTTTGTGCTGGCTGTCTCTCGGGCATGACCTGAAATCCTTTCTCATAGACCTGAGGTGCCGACTCAACAGCCACCATCTCCACATCCGAGTCACTACTACTAGACAATTCTCCCGACTCGGGCTCTGACATCATCTCTGATTCCCCAGTGGCCAGACTGTCAGATGAGTTGCTGTCACTACCAGATCTTTCACTATCATCGGTTGAACCAAGGCTGACACAATCTCCATTTTCTTTTTCTCCATCCTCTTCAGAACAAGTTTCTGTGGGAAAATGTTTCCTCGACTTCATGTGTTCATGACTATCTCTGTGTTCTAACTTTTTGTCCTTGTTGGTGCTTGGTTTAAAACTTACAGAGGAACTGACTTTCTTAACAGATTTTTTAGAACCATTTTCACTCTTCTGCTTTTCAAATTTTCTTGACCGTTTCTTGACTCTGCGAAACTTGCTCCTGGATCTTTTCTGATGCAATTTTTTTCCGTCAGAAAAGGCGTCTCCACTTTCAATCTGAAAGAAATGAAAAAGAATCTGTGTTGGTAATACAGGACAAAAGGGTTGAAAGTACATTAAAAATTGTTACCTAAGGCATTTTTCTTGCATTTTACTGGATCAAGTCCCATGTCTGACAGCTTTGATGTCAAAGCATCAACAGAAGAGTAGTTGCAAAATTCCGCCATCCACTGTCCATTACACTGGAAAAGAGTATAGAAAACAAAAGAAACGACAACTTAACAGATATAGAAAAGTACACAAGAAATTGTTTGGGAATCAGCAAATTTCTTTTTATTTCAATCTATAAAGGTAGAACTGATAGGCAAAAAATTACACATTTACAAAGTGGACCTGTAAGCAAAGGGGGGAAGCTCATCATTAACTCTTTCACTACCGCGAGCAATGTTTCATCGTTTATTTTTTCGAAGCTTTAAGTCACCATGATAGTGTTATTGGCTAAATATGAGAAGTATGTATAACTATTTATCAATGCCTTTTTTTACAAGAAACCTTTATCTTAAGATACTGAGTTATTCCAAAAAGATAAATTCAATAGTATAAAGCACACTGGTTTTTGGAAGCAGCATGCCCCTTGTCTTTCTTGAATGATGGGGAAATCTTTTATTGTCATCTTGAGTTTCACTAGCAGTATTCTAATCCCAGAACTCTGCTTTGAAAAGAATTTATTGCTGAGAACACAAACCCCCATGGCCTTTTTCATTGTTGTGAAAGGTAAATTGTTTTGAAGGGCTACAGTATGAAAAATTAATAGCTAAAACAATTTGTGCCATGATGTTGTTATTGACAGACAGTCAGTTATGTAACACAAAACACACATGTAATTGTACAACAAACACCTCATGCAAAGTCGGCATAACTGAACAAGGCTAATCCTAAAACAGTGTTTAAACCGTAGTAAACTGTAAGAATATAAAATTCCTGATTTTTTGCAACCTCTCTAAACTACCAGACTAAACCGAGGAAATGTTGGCAGTTCCACAGATTTCATTGTGAAATACTTTATAAAAACTAAAAAGGTGCAACATAAATCTTTTCACAGCAACTCTCAGGGAGCAACATGTCTTCAGGGCAGCTCAGAGGGTTAAGAAAAGCTCCCCCTGTAAATGAAGGAGGAGGATAACAAGTGGTAGCAGGATACAGGATACTCACAACCTGATTCTCATTACTGATCTCCTGAGTGTTTGCTGGTACCGACACCTGAGAATGGAATGTGTACTCTCCACTGTTTTCATCATGCTGGTAGTACGTTCCAGATGAATAGTCATAGAACAGCCCAGAATTCTGTTTAGATAGAGATGCTACATGAAATGCACTTAAAAACAAAAGCACGCCAATATAAAAAAAACTAAAAATACAAATATATATAGGCATCTTAAAGGTACAAGACAACTTAATGCAACTATTGAAAGGAAGTGAAATATGAGAAGGTAAAGACATGAGAAACAGCATGTTAGGGTAAATCTAAGACTCTTTAAATGTAGCAAAGTCCATCTTTCAGTCGCAGAATGAATTAGCCATTAGCAACACTGCTTGCTAACGCACAGCAGCAAAAAATCCACCAACAACAAATTTTAAAGTTGTTTTTGACCATCTGTCATAGATGTAAAGAGCCATTCAATTTAATCAAAGTAAAAGACAGTTAAGAAATCATTTCAAAAGCAAAACCAGTTGAGAGATGTTATATTTCAGAGGTTCTAAAACAGAGGATTATTCTAATCTGGATCAGAAAAGAATTCTAAAATTTTTCCAGGAAATATAACAGTAGAACAAATTATATGAACTATAGTATATCCAACATTTCCACTGCGGATGTAACAAAAATTAAGACTCACTGGGTCCCAATAATATCCTGTAGCTGGATGATAATAGAAGCCACTGGAAGCGTCATAAACATACTCTGAGTTGCTTTCATCTTTTCGTTCGTGGAGCTGTTCTGTAAATGCATCATTCACTGCGCTTGATGCTTCAGCTGACTGCCTTGAAAGTACAGCCTCAGCAGTGGCTTTAAGACTTTCTGCAATTGACAATTCACCGGTCAGCTGCAAGGAAAAAGGTGGCAAATAATAATAAGACCATATTTTTCTTGTTGAAGATGAAATCATGAATTATAATTCAGAATAAGAAAAAAAAATCTAGTGTCCAGATCACACAAATCACAAATGAAAAGTAACAAGAAAAAAAGATCCTGTCCCTTCAAAAAGAGTTACTAATAATTATAACCAAGAAATATATGAATAAATGATATTACATTCTTTGCTGTTCAATACTTGTAAATAGAAAAGGTCAATCAAACACAGAAAAAACACAAAAACTTTCATGCGAGTGAAGCACTTTACATCGGCGTCCTGACAAACCATATATCATTATTCCTGAAGCTGCCACTGGTGTACATCACATGCATGTAAGAGAAACAGCAACACTCAATCTTCCCTGGCCATACTATATTGCCTCAGTGTGCAATACATAAGTCCACACAAAGTGAGGACTCCCTTCCCTCTTTAACAAATTTACAGAATAAAAGATGGATCATATGAGACGGACTGACGATTCATGAAACTCAGTCATTGTATTATAAAACTCTGTCTTAATACAATGAAAGCAAGTTGTGTCAGTGACAAAAAAAACTATTGTAATTGTATTGTGGAAACAACAAACATGTCACAAACACAGTACTGTTGCTTACCACTGAATCAGAGCCCCACTCTGGCATTGGCTTTGACTCGCAGCCTGAGGAAAAAGATAAAACAAAATTTTGTTTTCATTTTTTAAAAATGCATTAAATATTTGAAGTGGCTACGAATACGGTTCCCGAACGCATAGCATCGAGGCAATGTATATGGTCCTCCACTTCACAAAATAAGCTTGGCTTTGTAGGCGGCACTATAAACTATCAAACCGGACACTACTAGTGGACAAACTGAACCTTGGAAGCATGCAGGCCCTATAAAGTATAAAGGGTATGAGCCGGGCTACCCATGAAGCGCACAGGCCCTATATAAAGGGCATAGACGCTGACCTTTTTTCGATGCAAAATTTCAGTATTTCTAATATGCAAAGTGATGTAAAATTACAGGTCAAAGTTATGAAGAGTGACCGATGACTTGGCAAGGTATCTTGACCTCGTAGAGCGTCTTTTGGTCAAGATATCGATCAATAAAGTGACGCGGTCAAGCTGAGCGAATATCAAGGCCATGAGCATACTTAATTAGATCTAAATCTATACACTTTAGTTGGCCGTACGGGAGAGCCGTACGCATAGCCACAGGCTTAAATATTGGGATCTAGATCAAAACTAGAGAAATATCATCTTGTTTCATTTGTTCATCATTTAACATTCTTTTACATTTCATTTTATTTGTCCTCTTTCTCTCTCTTCTGTTCCCAGATTACCCCATTGTCATCTTGAAACTTATTTCTAGTCCAAATAGATAAAAATTCTATTCGGACTCGGAATTGAGTCCAGCATGGTGTCCGTTCCGACTTCCGACCCTCGTTCCTAAATATTTCCAGCATTTATGAATTTTTCTTCGATTATAATTATGATAACAATCGAGATGTGAGCTTTAATATCCAGTGACTAGATCTATCTAAACTGGCCCTCCCTAAATCATTAGTACGAACAGTGAAAAAATCAACCAAGTACCAAGTTGAATTGACCTTGTCGGGGGCAAAGTTAATATGTCGACCAATGAGATTGCGCGTAACAATCACGCACTCTTGGCTTGCTGGGGGAAGAGGCCACGGCTGTCAATTTTGTGCCATGTGATTACAAAAAATTAATTACAGAAAACTAAAACACACAACAAATTGAAATTAATTATGTGACAAGACAAATGGTGGTGGAAATAATGATGATGCTATAGTGGTGGTGGAAAGACCCTGAGTTGTCGGTTACCATGTACTTAGACACTGCCAATGGGCAATGAGAGTGCAGTCTTTTGACTTATTTTAATACAATTACACAGTCCTAGTAGGTAATTCTAGTTCTAATTCTGGTTTTACGTAAAATGCACCGACAGCAGTTAGCAGCAAATTTTTACTTTCACTCCCGCACATGCACTGCTTCGGGGGTCAAACTGCAGTACTGTTTGCTGTAGATCACACATATAAAACAACTACAACTGTTGCAAATCAATTATTTTCAAGAAAATTTCAAATCTAACTGTAAAATTATATCAAATTATGGGATAAAACCATGCCCCCCTGTCGCCCCCCCAGATTTTCTTTTACTCAAGGGGAGCAGGCCCCCTAGAACCCACCGATTTGTCAAAAGCACGTCTATCTCTCTATTAAGAACAATCAAATATTTCAAAAGGGAGTGTCTACGTACACGGTAACCGGGCACCTAGTCTCAGTATCTACATACACGGTAACCGGGCACTAGGGTTGGGTCGAGCTCGCAAACTTAGCGCCCGCGAGTAACTAACTACTCGTTGGCACTACCTGCAAACGAGCGGACGGGTAACGAACCGTCCGCTTGTGAAGAATAGTTCGCTACTCGCTACACATCCGACAGAGACAACAGTTTGTTTGGCGAGCGAGCGGAACCGCGGACCAAGAGACTCCATGCATTCGAGCGGAGTGGACGGACGGACGGGAGCGACTCATTCCATTGCATACAACTTACAACCCCCTGCCCCCCCCCCCCCCCTTAAAAAAATTATTTAAAAAATCACCCTCCTGCCTCACATTGTAGCTAGGCGTTCATGGCAGAAATTCCCCCCCCCCCCCCCCCCGGCCTTTACGATAATTGGAACGTACACAGTGTGCCCCACGCACGAGGTGAAAGGTTACACACATAGTACTACGTCACCAGCCTTTCTCACTCCCTGTGGTACCGCTAGCCTAGGCTAGTGGCTTGAAACATTAGGCCTAATTAACAAACAATAGAGCGTGGGCCTAACCTCGCGTCGAGTATCTCATCTGCAAGAGTTCGTCTGTTTGCCTGCCCGCCCAGTGAATAAAATTGTGGAGCGGACCCAAAAAACGAACTGTCTTGACGTTCGCAGTACGCTCTCATGGCCGTCTGTTACCCGCTCGCTCTGACTGAGTCCACGAGTAACGATCCCTTCCATCCGCTCGCCCCTACTCTAACGGGCACCTAGTCTCAGTATCTACGTACACGGTAACCGGGCCCCTAGTCTCATCTAGTCTCAGTATCTATGTACACAGTAACCGGGCACCTTGTCTCAGTATTTATGTATGCGGTAACCCGAATGAAAATTAATCAATATTTGTACTGTGCTGTCACTTGCTGAAAAAAAAGAAAGTCATACAAGCGTCTTGTCGGGCATGCCATCATGAAGGGTCAGTGAACCTGTGCAAGCACTTCACATTGTGAGTAGTTGGGGTCACCAAAGTTCATTCAAAGTCTGTGCGCTGCGAAGTATAAGGCTCCGGAAAGGGGGGATTATTGATTTTTTTTTAAAGGTACAGTCGGGGGAGGGGTGGGGATGACAGCAGCACCGGATGACAAAAACTAAACTTGGAGTTCTGGACTGCCCGGTTACCGTGTACGTGACACTGAGAGTACGTGCCCGGTTGCCGGTTACAGTGTGTACATACATTGTACGTGGCACTAAGACTACGTGCCCGTTTGCCAGTTACCGTACGTGTACGTAGACACTGAGGCTAGGTGCCCGGTTACCGTGTGTACGCAGACACTCCGATTTAAAAAACTATTAATTTGTGACGGAAATGAAGTTGATATTTGAATTCAGCAAATCAATATTCAATAGAACATGGACAACTGGTAGCTAAGTGTGAGAAAGAAAAAAAATACCCGTATTGTATGTAACCTTCTTACACTCACTTAAAACTCACTTAGATCTAGATCAAGAAGCTGATTCCAAATAAATAAAATATTTTTCGGACCAGAGTTCGAACAGAAAACTCACATATTCGGACTCGAGTCTGAATAAATTAAAAATCTTATCGGACTCGAGGACGAATAGAGTTGGCCTTTAAATTAAGTTTAAATCTAAATTAGAATCTATCACAATGAAGCTACAAGATGACGATGGGGGTGATCTGGGAAAATTTTATCTTTTTTTTAGTAAGTGTTTTACAGCACTCGCAACTGCATAGATAGGTCATATATGAGCGCGCGGGACACACCTAATTTTAGTTGTTCTGCCCGGGTGGCGGCCGAAGCCTACTCTTATACGATTTTAGACCACTAAGGGATCTTTAACGTGCGCAACTTGCACACGGGCCCTCCGAGATTTTACGCCCTTGTCCGAGAAGGCTAGGTGTAGATCTTTCCTACCAGAAAGTCAGGGGTGTGGCAGAAAGACAGCCGTAAGAAGGAGTCAAGGAGTAGCAGTAGAAAGGCTGCAGAAAGAGTCAGGAGCTCAGAGGAGGGGGCAAAGGAGGTGAGGGGGTGGGGGCAGAAAGAGGAGACGAAAGCAGACAACAGAATATTGCTAGATAGAGAGCAGGAAAGGAGGTGAAAGGAGACAATTTTAGGGAAGAAAATTTTTTGGTCGCTACCCGGATTCGAGAGCCCCACATCTGGGAACAGTTGAGAGAGAAAGGGGACAAATGATTTAATTTAATGAAAAGAAGGTTCAATGATGAACAAAGGAAACAAGATGATCATGTTTATATATATATGGCCACCTCTATTCTCACCCCGGGTGAGAATAGTGCAGGCGAGTCTTTTGGCTATTCTCACCCGGTGCGCGTTCACCGTTATAGCCTAGATCTAGGCCAACCAATTTTGTGTTCACCCTAAACCACAGAATTCTACACTGTGATAACAGAAAAATTGTAGAATTCTGTGCCGTAAACAAATGTTCCATTACTACTGTTAGCCTACTAAAAGCGTACAATTTTGTCTGTGGGCAGTGGAGAGAGAGAGAGAGAGAGAGAGAAAGAGAGAGAGAGAGAAAGGAGTAGCACGAGAACCTCCGGGCAAAACAAAATGGCGACCCGCGTAGTTCTGCTCGATTCGAAAAGATAAATGACTGTAGCATCTTTGTAGACGACCAAATTAATTTACTTTTGTGTTTTAACATCATTTTTTAACTTTGTTTTGGTCAATTTGATCGTCCACACCGATAGACAGTATTCAGAAAGAGACAGAGAGAGAGAGAAGAGGGGAGGAGTAGATCTTGCGAGAACTTCCGGGCAAAAAAAAATGGCGACCCCCGTAGTTCGGCTCGATTCGAAAAGTGAAATAGCCACAGCATCTTTGTAGTCGATAAAATTAGCTTACTTTTGTGCTATACTACGTAATCTTTTCTTTGCCTTTATCCATTTGATCATCCACATCGATAGAAAGTATTCCGAAATTAGTAAAAACAGGTCTTGTTTCTCACCGGGTGAGAATAGCCTACTACGGCCTACGGTGGCAAGTCTCACCCGGGGTGAGAGGTCGATCGTATTTCTATTCTCACCCCGGAAGAGAATAGCCACTTCCATATATCATATCCTAGATCTAGATCTAATCTAGATATCTAAATCTAGATCTCCTAGCTCAATCATACTCAACAATGCCTACCTTCTCCAAGTCCAAGAGTTTCTTCACCAACAACATGATCATCCTTACAACAAGTCTGCACAGCAGCATCTTTTGAGTTTGTAGAACTCGTCCTGTATTTATGTAGTTCTGAGCTCAGCTTAGTAACTTCGCTTCTTAGATCATCATTGTAGTTCTGTAGTTTCTTATTCTGTCTTTCTGCCCGTGAGACTTGCCTTTCCAGCTCCTTAATTTTGTCATGCAAAGAACGTAGTTCCTCTTGACAGTCTTCAACTTCAAGCCTCGATGCAGCTTCTAAATGAGACGGATCATGACATTGCACCGGCATATTTTGTTGATCAGCACTATCTGCATTCATTTTAGTAGTTGGGTTCATTTGACCATCTAAGGTAGAAGTCCTGTGACTCCGATAACTCAAGACTGAGAATGCAGTACAACAATGTTTACAAATTACATGGTAAGGGTTGTTTCCTTTCGTTTTCGAGCAATCAGCCAGTAGAATAACACTTCCTGTATCATGTTAAATTCACCCTTCTGTCAAGGGGAGTTCCACTTTTAGACGCTTAGCTTCGCTGAAATTCGAAGTTTTTTTATTTATATTTTTCCATAATGTAGATCAGCGTTACGAGATCAGCAGATTAATACTTTTTTCCGCAGAATACGATGGGCGCAAATGAACTTTCAAGTAAAATGTGATTTTAAAAAATGACAGGCCGAATTCTTTTGAAGCATTTCATATGAAAGTGATTAAGCTTCTTGGCATGGCACTGGTACACTATCCCAGATCTTGGCATCATGCATGCATACAAAAAGTCGGAAGGACCATAACATTGCAGACTTTTAACTAACTTTGTCTCTGTGCTACTGCCACAGCAGTCCCAAACCCACTCTCTCTCTCTCTCTCTCTCTCTCTCTCTCTCTCACACACACACACACACACACACACACACACACACACACACACACACACACACCACTGTAAACATTGTAATATAACGTGAAAGAGCTAAAATATGTGGTAGTGTCAAGAAACAATATTATGAATAAAGTATGATGGAAGTTACTGAGATTAATAGAAACTGACTTGATCGGCACAAAAAAGAAACACTACTAGGCTAGAAAACAAACTGAAAGTGAAAGGCTGGTCCTGGCCTCCAGTACTTTACTCGTACTTTCTACACCCCCACACAAAACATCGACGTGCACTGGACCCGTTAAATATATGTAATAAGAACTGTCCTGTATAATGACACAAAGTCCGTTGATACTGTACCAGTGACGCTGTTCCAAGCAGATCAAGTCTACAATCAGATAGTACACAAAGCTGGACAAAGTTAGCACACAACAGTTTCCGATCATTATGTCATCAGATTTTCTTCATCGCACTTCTCAGTTCTCAGAACAGAACATTGTGTTGTAACAAAGTGAGGAAGTGTGTCAAATGCTAATTATAAAACTTGGTGTCTAGCTGGGGTGACGGTGGAAAAGGAGAGGGACGGGAGGGGGTAGGCCTATTGTTTTCGGCCCAGATTCTGACAGCCGAGAGCCTATCGCCCGCTCCTCTTTAAAATTCTCCTTAAATATATCTTCACTAGACAATTCCTCCCTTCGCCGGCCAGACTCCTATGGGCCAGGTAAGTTATTGGTGGGGGGAAAACGATTAGTAAATGGCAAACAAGAACTATAGGTGGTTAAAAAGTCAATAAACAAAAAAGGTAAGTGCCATGCTGACAATAAATGTTCTGATAGTAGTTAGAGAAAGGCTGAATGATAAATACATGTTTTGCTGATAAAATAATACATGTGTCTGCGCTGTTCAAGACAGTCTCAATCTTAATTTTGCAAGCTACAAAGAGGCCAATTTGGCAATTAAGGGATGCTCTATTCGTTCTGAGGGCAGTCGATGGATTTGTCCATGGGACGTCATCGCTGGGCCAAGAACACCATACTTGGTGTTGCCCCACGCGTAGCAACCAGGCCAGTATGACGGTCTATTGCCATCCGCTCTGGTTGCTTACCCTTAGCTTGCTACTGCCAACTTCGAAGCCACGTCCTGGAGGAATGCTTAGATCTTCATCTGTATGACATTCATCCTATTGCACATCGTTACCATGGACAACAGCGAGAGTCTCAGAAGCGGTTCACTTCACTGAAATCCACTAGGATCATAGGATGTGGCCCTTATACCCCTTCACTTCAAGGCCAGAGTATGTATCGGCTCTCTGGTTTGACTATGAATAGATGCGAATTGCTGCGTTGCATAAAATCTTGATGCTTATACCAACACAATAGTTTTTATTTGTTGTCAGTTTGTTAGTGTTTCAATGCTTAACCAGCTGCTTGCACTGCATGCTTCCCGGGAAGCTGAGAATGTTTCTGGGTGTTCTATGGTCTGCTGGGGTAATAATATAGATCTAGTGTAAAACGCATAGAGCTTGCTTTCGAATAGGGACATGCACCAAACAAATGCTATGTATTATTATTATTACATTGCTCTTTACGGTTTGATTTTCTTGAGTCCTTTTGGGGAAAGACAGGCGGAGGGGGAGGGGGGGATTGTTGAAGACCCCACTCCCCCCTCTCCAATACTTTTTTATACTTATATACCCAATATGCCGAACTAATGACAACATAGTGGGTATGATCTAACGCAATGCAGATTGTTACCGTTTGATCCCTTGACCCCCCCCCCCCCCAAAACCCACTCATCCTTCTTCTCGATCCCTCTGCAGACGATAATTACAAAACTCGTCTCCCCGAGATCAGTTCACAGTCGCTTACTTTGTACATTATGTGAGGAAGAGAGCGTTGGCGGTCATAATGGCTGTCGGTTGAGGTAGGAAAACGACCAAACCAAACTTCTTTGGTTGGCAGGTGGTATGGTTTGATCCTTCTTTCCCATGAAACATGTATCGTCTTTGCATCACTTCCAATCTTCCACAACTTTGACCTATCATTTGCGTTGCAAATGCCGTACAACGTTTACTAAAACGTAGCAGGTATAGATCTAGATCTGGACCTATAGACTGGGATTTATAAAATGTAGGAATGCGCTTTTAGTCCCAGACCTTTTCCATTACTCACTTGTGAGGCAGCCTGGTGAAATAAGGCGCTCGTCAAAACTAATGTAATCGAAGAAACAAGCATTTGTCCTGCAGTTTGGCAACATTTTTCAAAATATCTTTCTTTGGACCAACACATTCTATATCCATTTAAGAACACCCTTTCATGTGAATTTTACTGAAAAGGGTTGATTAAAGGCACAAAATGTTGTAACTTTTCAGTTTTCAAGAACTCTCAAGTTATTGATGTTACCAAACTTTGGAGGCCATTTTCTCGCTAATTTTTCTCTGAAACCTGGCGACCCCTCCTCTTACAATCGCAAATACCATGACCACTATTCAAGATAGACGACAGTTTTTTTTCATCAAAAGCAAGACAAATAAACAAGCTTTACGATGATGCACTCCGCATGCCCAAAAACTGACGAGTGTCTGATTCCACCACGTCGAAACACAATTCTTGAGCCCGGCAGTGAAGGGCTTTGGGCTCAGAGAGCCTCATCTGCCCTGGCCACTAATACCTGATGTCACGCTGGAACACCTGCCCATGCAACAGGCTGTACAACAGGTTGTTACATCAAGTAACCCAGAAGAATACGCCTCTCTCTCTCTCTCTCTCTCTCTCTCTCTCTCTCTCTCTCTCTCTCTCTCAATATTACACATGTTACCTGGAGCAAAGGTTTTTCTCTGACCCACAGAATTCTACACTTATAGAACGGGAACTGTGCCTCGTGACCTGTGAGGAATTGAAGACCGAAAACAACGGCGTCTTGAGGGCACGATTATCATTTTCGGAAGTAACCCTATAGCTTTTAAAGCAAGAGCGGCTTTTACAAACGAGTGAAAAGTGGAACATCCACTGTCCAGTGTGTAATTTTAAGTTACAGAATTCACTGTGCAACTAGAGATTGGAATCAAGGTTTTAAATTGTTGTGTTTTTGGGTGCAACAACAGAAAAGAGAGTTTATAAATATAAAATCTACAGAACTGTGAAAAAATTCGTAACACGGATGGGATTGTTCACAGCACTTCTAGCTTCCCACATACAAGTGTAGAATTCTGTGCTCTGACCTGACAATATTCGTGATCTACGAATTTCGCTATATTATACTAACTTGTTTTATTTATACAAGAAATTAATAATGTAGGAGGGGAAAAAAACAACAACCCAAAAATCTAATCGTTATGTGTGTGTTTCGCTTGGTGTCTGTTCGCTATGTACGTAACAGTCTATGCTCCCGAGCTGCGCCATTGCTTTTGTAACCCACAAGAAATGTACAAAGCGAAAAAAAAGTATGTGTGTGTGTGTTCGCTCATGTATGTATGTGTGTGTGTGTGTGTGTGTGTGAGTGTGTGTGTGTGTGTGTGTGTGTGTGTGTGTGTGTGTGTGTGTGTGTGTGTGTGTGTGTGAGTGAGTGTGAGTGTGTGCGTGTATGTGTGCGTGTGTTTTATGTGAGTGTGTGTGAGAGAAAGAGCGTGTGTGTGTGTCTGTGTGTGTGTGTGTGAGAGAGAGAGAGAGAGAGAGAGGGGGGGGGGAAAGAGGGAGAGAGAGAGAGAGAGAGAGAGAGAGAGAGAGAGAGAGAGAGAGAGAGAGAGAGAGAGAGAGAGAGTGTGTGTGTGTGTGTGTGTAGGCGTGTGTGTATGTGTTTGTGTGTTTGTGGAAATATTTAGATAGACAGACGTATGAGTTTGCGCCTAGGTATTACAAGTGCTAATGAGGAGAGATGAGGAATGTGTTTTGGAGCGTCAGGCCAGGATGACTTAACACAGACGATTAAAGCAGAGCTGTCTTATCTCAACGCTAACACACCTGCAATGTTTTTGTTGTTGCCAGTCTACCTTATATCTAGTCGTGATAATGATCCAAAATACGTGTGTCATTATCTGTAACGAGAAGACAAAAGTTCAGAAAGATAGGTGACAATTGACAATAAAGCAACACCATATAAATCAAAGATAACGTTCTAGTATAATAAGTATGAACGGAAAAGGGTGTAATCTACACCTAACCCGTTTTGTAGATAAAAACAATTATTGTTGTCCTGTCACATGTCGTCGTGACTGTGTTCATCCGTGGTTGGTGTCCTACTCTTTGCCCAAACGGGCCTTTATCTTCTACGTTCTCAGTTTTGTTGTATTAATGCCTACAGTTGTAGCCCACTGTCGGATTTTTGTGTTTGTTTTCAATGAGTGATTTAAGAAATCTTCCTTTATTATACTTTGCTTCTACATTATTTTGCATTGCAGCACAGTTAGTTGCCATCAGATCCGTTTTTATGCTTCTCTTTGCACGACC